CACCAAGGGTTGCGATCCCCTTACCGGTCACGAAAAAGACAAAAACAAACAAACAAAAAAAACAATGAAATGTTAAACTTTCACTGTGAGGTCTGGAATAAAACAAAGATGTACACTACCATTACTTTTATTCGACACTGTACTGGACTAGAGATCTTAACAATGCAATTTTGTAAGTACAAGAAATAAAAGCTGTAAGATTCTAAAAAGAAGAAATAAAACTCATTATTCACAGTGATACTGAACCATGTACACAGAAAATCAAAAAATCTACAGATAAATTATTAGAAGGAAATAAGTTTAGAAAGGTTGCTGAATGCAAAGTCAATAAAGAAAAGTTAGTTATATTTTATATGTCAGTGAACAGAAGATGAAACTTAAAAATATATATTATTTCCAATGGTTCCAAAGTATCAAATACTTCTAAATCTAAATAAATTATGCAAGATACAGAAAACCATAAATTATTGAGAAACTAAATAAAATTAAATGGATAAATATACCATGTTCACAAAAAGATTCAATATCTTAAAATTAATCATCCCAAACTGATGTAGCTTTGATACAATTCCAATAAAATCCCAACAGGCTTTTTTGTTGTTAGTGGCTTTTTGTGGAACTTAATAAATTGATAGTGAAATGTGTACGGAAATGCAAAGTTCCACAATAGACAAAATACTCCTGAAGAAAAAAAAGGTGGGAGAATTTACTATACCAAACATCAACATTATAATTAACATGGTGTGATACTGGCATTAAGATAACCAATTAAACTAGTGGGAACAAACAGGCAGAAATGCACGTCACGTGTGAGCACAATTTATGACAAAAGTAACATTGAGAGCCGTGGGAGATAGAAGTTTTTTTAAAAAATGGTGTCAGTTGGATATCTACACAACACCCCAAATTAATTCCAAGTGGATTACAGATCCAGGAGCGTACTTCAAAAAGTTCATGGAAAGATTTGTATTATCTTTTAATTCTATTTTTCCACCAACTTTTTGAAGTACCCTCATATATTTGAAAGGTAAATAGTAAAGCTGTTATAATATAGTAGAATATTGTTTTAAGGGTACCTCAGATTTGTTCTAATCAGCTCTGGTAACAAGATTTGTATTATCTTTTAATTCTATTTTTCCACCAACTTTTTGAAGTACCCTCATATATCTGAAAGGTAAATAGTAAAGCTGTTATAATATAGTAGAATATTGTTTTAAGGGTACCTCAGATTTGTTCTAATCAGCTCTGGTAGCACAGAGAAATAACTGTTATGAAGGAAGAAGTTTGTTACATTCGTTTCCCCAGAAAGAGGAGGCGGGCAAGGGGGCTACCCGGAGAAGCACCAGGTTGCTCAGTGTGAAAAGGGAGCCAGGGGAAACGTGGGCAAGAGCCCTTACTGTGGTTTCCATGGAAAGGAACAGGCGAGGCAGGGTGAGCAGGCTCAGGACCAGCTAGTCTGAATAACTTCAGCAGGCTCTGGGGTATAGGGGCTGTCCCTAGTTGGTAACTATTCTGGTACCTGTCCCTGGGGTGATTAAAGCGGGTAGATAGTGGCCTGAAGTTTGAGATTCCGGTAAGGGAGGTGTTTGGGGAACTGGGCTCTGTATTGATTGGCTTGCATGGGGTGTGGTGGGGGGTTGCTTAGTATTCTTGGGAATTGGCTAATCCTGGGAGAGGCATTCTCTCCAGGATCAGTAAGGTCCCAGATGTCAAAGCATCAGAATACAAAAAATAAAAGACATGGTTAATATAATATCATATTCTTAGAATAGGAAAAGATTTCTCCAGGCAAAGAGCACAATCCTCAAGGAAAAGACTGATAAATTAAACATTAAAATTAAAAATCTCAAGGTAAAAAAACTATTGAAAATAAAGTAAGCCACAGAATGGAATATATTTCTAACACATCTGGCAAATATACATCAAGAATATATATAGAACTACACATCAGTAAGTAAAAAACATAAAACAAACAGATATAAGAGCAAGAAACTTGAACAGTCACAACTTAAAATGCTCATCAACAACGGTATAGGCAAATTATGGTATACTTTTCAATGAGTTACAGCTACATGCAGCAGCAGGGATGCACCTTAAAGATTCAATTTATAAAAAGTTCAAAAATAGACTAAAGTGTTAGACGTCAAAAGGTAGCTATGTTTGAGGAAGATGATGTGATAATAGTTTAAGAGTATGAGGAAGACTTCTGGGGTGCTGGCGATGTTTTCATTTTATTTTACCTGTTTAGTAGTTATGGTGTTTGCTTTGTGATAACTGAATTGTACATTTTAAAAAACAAACCTTAAAGAATAGTTTCAGGTTTACAGAAAATTTGCAAAGAGAGTAAGAGTTTACTATGCCCCACATCCCCTTCTATTATCAACGTTTTACATCAGTGTATCTGTGACAAAGAACCAATACTAATACATTACCATCGACTAAAGTCCATACTTTATTCAGATTTATTTAGTTTTCACCTAATGTCTTTTTTCTGTTCCAGGATCCCATCCAGGACATCACATTTAGTTGTCATGTTCTCTTGGCTGTCACAGTTTCTCAGACTTTCCTTGTTTTTGATGACTTTGGCAGTTTTAAGGAGTGCTGGTCAGGTATTTTGTAGAATGAACCTCAACTGGGATTTGTCTGATGTTTTTCTTATTAGACTGGGGTTAGGGGTTTGGGAGGAAGACAGGTAAAGTGCCCTTCTCATTACATCACATCATCACGTATCAACATGACACATCACTGCGGATGTTGACCATGGCCACCTGGCTGAGGAAGTTTGCCAGGACTCTTCACTGTACTTATTTACTTCCTCTCCATATTGTACTCTTTGCAAGGAAGTCACTATGTGCTTAGGAAGGAGGGAGTTACGTGAAGGGATCTATATAGATTATCTGGAATTTTTCTGCACAGATTTGTCTATTCCCCCCTCATTTATTTTTTCAATCATTTGTCAGTATGGATTCATGGACATTTATTTTAAGCTACTTCATTTTGTTGTTCGAATTGTTCCAGTGTTAGCCACTGGGAGCTCTTTCGGTTGGCTTGTATCCCTTTGACATGCCTCCGTTGTTGTGGATTTCTTTTTTAAGCACTTTTTTTTTTTAACTTTCTGGCATTACAAAAGGTTTTAGGCTCTCATACATTCACTGCCCCAGTCCTAGAATGAGCATTTTTCCAAGGAGCCCCAGTTCCTTTTTTGGAGAAAGGTATTAGAAACCACATTCTGGGTGCTAGGTTTGCTCACTGCTGTTGGGGTGTCGTTGCTTTGAGGCCCTCCCAGTCCATTTGCTTCTTGTACATGTTATACTTCGATTAAAAAAAAAAAAAAAAAAAAAAAAA